TTAGGTCCACGTTGTCTTGGGAGGAGCGCGAGTGCTTAGTCGCTTTGTTAAAAGATTTCAAAGATGTTTTCGCGTTGTCCTATGAAGACATGCATAGAATCGATCCGAAGATTGTACCGCATCGGGTCCCTCTTGACCCTAATTGTGTAGAATCTGTCTGGATTAGACGTTAAAAATCAAGGAAGAGGTCACCAAGCAGATCGATGCGGGTTTCTTGTTAATATCTGAGTATCCGACTTGGTTGGCCAACATCGTCCCAGTGCCGAAAAATGATGGTAGAATCCGGGTGTGTGTGGACTTCCAGGACTTGAACAAAGCTAGTCCAAAGGATGACTTCTCTCTACCACACATTGATGAGCTAGTGGACTTCACAGTGGGCTATGCATTGCTATCCTTTGTGGATGGGTTGGCGCCTGAGGACAGGGAGAAAACCATATTCACTACACCATGGGATACCTACTACTACCGGGTTATGCCGTTTAGGTTGAAAAATGCCGGGGCTACCTATCAGAGGGCTGCAACCACCATTCTGCATGACATGATCCACAAAGAAGTTGAGGTGTACGTGGATGACATGATTGTCAAGTCCAAACAAAGATAGGGCCACTACACCACCTTGAAGAAATTCTTTCAATGGATCAGAGAATATAGATTGAGTTTAAACCAGCCTGTAAAAATGCACCTTCAGCGTAACGGCAGGGAAAATGCTGGGCTTTTTGATCACACAGAGGGGCATTGAAGTAGATCCTTCCAAAATTAAGGACATCCTAGAAATGCCACCACCAAGGACTGAAAAAGAGGTGTAAGGCTTTCTGGGTATAGTGTAATTCATAAGATGGTTTATTTCCAAATTAACCTTGACTTGTGAACCACTATTTGGTCTCCTAAAGAAAAGGAAGAAATTTTAATGGGATGATCGCTTTCAATTTGCCTTTGAGAAGGTTAAGTAGTACCTCCAGAACCCGCATGTGTTGTCACTGCGAAAGCTAGAGAAGCCTTTGATTCTATACTTGTTAGTGGCAGACACAACCATGGGATGCATGTTCGCTTAGGAATTTGAAGATAGAGCGGAGAAAGTGATTTACTACTTGAGTAAGAAAATGCTAGATTATGAGACCCGTTATACTCTGTTGGAGAAAGCTTGCCTAGCCTTGGTATGGGCTACTAGGAAGTTGAGACCCTACTTGTTAGCTCACTCTGTAATCCTAGTTTTGAGATTAGACTCCATCAAATATCTCTTTGAGAAACCAACGCTTACAGGTAGGCTAGCCCGTTGGTTGCTTCTTCTCTCCGAATTTCATCTCAAACATGTCACCCGTAAGTCGATTAATGGAAGAGCTGTAGCAGAGTTCCTGGTAGACCACCTGTAGACGCGCCTGCGAGAACTCCTGAGAAAATCTCGTTTTGTTTTCTAGCTACTACAGTTTGGACTCAATGTCACGGTTATGAATCTAATCTCACAATGTGCGATGTAAGACTGATAAATCACCAAAGAGTCCAAATCTGGCAAATCGTTTTGGAAAATTGATTTTTAAGAAAGAAGTGCAAAACGTGGACTACTTCGCCAGATACAGAGTAGCCATCTAAATATTTTATTTTATGGGAATTTAGGAAACCCTGACTCGTGCCTAAGGCCACGTGTCCGTCATCACCAAAGTTGCCTCGGCTCGGAAACTTGGGTACGAGAGGGGAAGGTTATCTATGAGCACCCCCGCTCGCCCTATCAAAGATTGGCCTGTACTAAGCATGATATCTTGTTTTTGAAAACACATGCGTTCTTATTCCGGTTAATTAGCTAGAATTACTATGTGATGCGCACAACACACAAGTATAGACTAGATCGCCTAATTTGGAACAAAGCATCGCATATCCGTTTGTTTGGAAATGGTTTAAAGTTTGCTACTTGCAAGTAGGCTAAAACACGAATTTCAATTAATTGTTCCAATTCAAGTAATCCAACCTTGACCTACAGACATTCAGGCAGTTATATCACATAAGCAATTAGCCTCATGGCAAGCATGCTGTCATGTTAACACTCACACACATGCGAGATGCAAAAGCGTAAACACTTACAGTGTACTCCGAGCTAAAACAATAGTTAGTTAGAAATCAATGCATGATCCTAGCTTATGTTAAGATGGCTAATGCAACACATGCAAAATGCAACTAGAAATAGCCTCGGCTATTCTAAGATGTCATATGAGATGCAACTTGATGATCATGTGTTCAAGTAGGAATTGAAATGCAATGCAATTAGTATGATGCGCCGAGCCCGGTGCATGCAATACAGATGAATGATGCAAACATGCATAGCATAAGGATGCTAAATTGAAATATGACATAGAACTAACCACTGAAAGCAGGTAAGTAAAAGGGAGAACGACGTGGGGTTGGAAGACATTCACACACTTACGCACACTTATTACAAAATTCGCCCTCTCGACGGAGGGTCCGAATAAATTATACAAATCAACTAATTAATTAACTACCCTAGCTAATTAATTATTACAAAACCTTAACTGAAACAAATAACTATTCTAAGCTATCAAAAGCACTAAAATGGCCTCGTGACGAGGGATGCATATGCGCTCAGTTGGCTTCTCTCGAAAATCCGTTGACATGCCTCATGTTGCCTCTGTTTGCACTATTATATACCTCTGAAAACTGTGCCAACTTCTGTGATGTTTCTGAACCACCTTATGGACACTCTGAGAGGTCATCGGCCAAGAGGGGTGGCCATCGGCCAGTGGATAACGGTCATCGACCAAATATAAGGATATCGGCCAAACACTATTTGTCGATCGGCACTGAATATAGTTGATCGACTATTCCTTCCTGTGGACTGCTCCTTTGCTACAGCAGAGGACAAATAGAGCATGGCAATGCATTTACAAGATAATGTTTGCAACTACACTCCTTATCATGTTTAAGGCTCAAAGGTGTGTAGTTCTTGACCCTCGGGCCACCAATCACGCATTTCGATGCATGATGGCCAAAGGAGCCAAGTGTGCAACCATCAATATAGAATGAATGCACAAAACAAATGAATGCCTCACACTCTATCATGTTGGATCAAGAGTGTCGGCAAATGAGGATTGAGGCACGTTTCGTCACTTCAAGTACGAAACGTCCCTCGGTCATCGTGTTTGGTTTGACAACCCAAACCAAACACAATGCAATGCATGCAACATGAGAAAGCTATGCAATGCAACATAAGCATGCCAAATGCAATATGACTCAAACATGTACACAAGGCTAAGGTAACAAGCATGCCAAATGCAATGTGACCTAAACAAGCATGTGATAAAATGCAAGCTAACAAGCATGCAAAATGCAACCATAATCCTACGAACATGCATGGCATACAAAGATGGACAATCATACAAGCATCATGTAAAGTAGCAACTTTAAACAACATGGAAAATGGACTTAAACTAAAGACGGACAGACCTCAGCCATGCCCAAAATCAGTGGCCAAAATCCCAAGAAATGATGGAAATGAAGCATGAAAAAGGCATGGCAAACATGCATGCCAATTGGCCAAAGGGCTAAAGCATAAAGATGCAACTCTTGAGCACAGCTAAAGAGTGACTAGCATAGATGTATGACAATACTACATGCTCTGAAATGATGTGAGGAGTGATGCCAAATCAACAAATCAAAGCGAGTATGACATACAAGAAAGCTCAAGGCTTAAGGCTAGCCAAGAAGCTTGTACCATGGCCATAACAAACAAGCCTCAAAGGGCCAAGGACAACCAAAACAGTCCTAGATCATGCCAAAGGGAGTCTAAAACATGCAAGGGCCAAAGCTAAAACAAGCCAAAATGAAGGGCCGAAAGCAAGATGCAAGTAAGTCCAACAAAGGGGATTACACTACACTCATTATAACCAAACATGGCATGACTTAACCAATGAAAAACAGAGATATGGCATGCCAAAATAGGCCCAAAAACCCACTTAGATGCAAAAAATTATAAATGAAATCATAAAATGAAACAACGGTTTTAATTTTCTTTGCTTTAAAGTAATATTGTTCATAAACAACTATGAAACAGAGTGCAAGTAAATACACAACCGTCTAACTCACTTCGACCTGCAAAACTATCGTTGTTTTTTTCATCAAAATAATAAAATGGTCACCTGATATGTAAACACGATTGGAACTTTGCAGCCTAAATTTTATCTTATTTTCACTTAATGAACTTCAAAGCCATCCCATTTTCTCTTCTTTACATTTTCTGCTTCTTTTTATATTCGGTAAATTACATTTCACTCCTTCAGTCCATCACATAATTGTTTATCAACACTATTGCCATGTGGTCGTATTAATGTGACTTAGATGAATTCTGAAATGTGAGGAAAAAACAAAGCATGTAAGTTGCGCTGCACAAAGTCACATGCATCACGCAATGTGAGAAAAAAAGTCACAAAGTATACAAGCATGGCAAAGTCAGAAAGTGTAGACACCCCATTTTTGACCGGCCTCGGGACTTGGTTGTGCTTGCAGTACACCCAACAACTAGTTCAACTGCTCGCCGAGTACTCGACTGTCGCGGCAGAACGTCACCGGTTCGAGCTTCCCCGACCTTGTATCCTTTCTGCCCTTTTTTTGGACCTTGTGTAATAACCCGACCCTCATATCTGTTTCTAGTATATTTTCGATCTGTTATTCTGTGCATTTACTTGCTTTCTGTGAAAAGTGATTTATATCTGTGGCATTTTTATTAGTGTATTTGGAACTTCCCTATTTTATTTTGGGCTATTGATTGTGGTGGTAATGTGATGGTAAAGTAAGATTGGATCAAAAATTTTAATTTGAATAATTCGTTTACGACCAACCGTCACTCTTTTTCCCTTTTCTTGTTCCACACTTGGAATTTGGATGTGAGGTTAGAACCATTGGAAAGCTTATTTTTGGGGCTTCAATTTGGGCACAAGAATGACCTAAAACGGAGTCCGGATGAGAGAGTTACGCCTGTTTGAAGTTTTCATATCTGTGCTGGAAGCAGGACCGCACGTGCGGGAAATGCGGCGCGCGTGCGGCGATGTGCGGGGCAGCAGCTCAGAAACGTGATTTTTGAGTCATTTCTTAGATTTTCTTTTCCTCTCTTCTTCTTCCCTCTTCCATGTCCGAAACCCTAGCTCCCAAAACCTTGATTTCCTCCACTTTTCTCAACAAATCAACCATGGATCTTGCATCAAGGATGGAGAATAAGAGGAGATCACCACTTTCTACCGAATGGAATTTCGAAATTTTTGAGGTATGTTGGGGTATGTTGGGGTTCTATTATGGGGTTTAGAGTATGGTTTATGGGTTATGGACCTAGGGTGCCTAATAAATGAGAAGATTTGCAATCAAAAGTAATGGGTTAAGAAGATTTAAAATTTTATTTGAAATTTGTAGATTTCTTAGAAACCCTAGGTTGGTTTTTGATGATAATCCATGATTTGGCCCAAATTGATAGTTGAATCATGAAAGTGGTAAGTTGAATTAGATGTGTTCAAGTTTAATTGGAATTTGGTTATGTTTGAAAATTATGTTTAAATTTTGCGATTGAACTTTGTTAAATGCATTGTAAATTATGTTTTAATAAAAGGGAAATTGGGGGAAAAGATTTATTGATAATGTGGATGATATAAATTCGATGATGGAATGTTGAAATGGAATTTAAGAATTCCTTTTGGGATATGTTGAATTGTGATGATTATGTGGGATGGTATTGACTATGTTGATATTAATTTTTGTGACCTAAAATGTGAAGTTTTCAAGAATGGGTTTAATCCCAAATCATTTTACTAAATATTTGTGGGCTTGCTTAGTTATTAAATCAAGAGAATGATTTAATAGGATTTCTTATGGGGATGGGGAAATGTTTGGTTTTTGGTGAAAACACTAGAAATTTAAGGAGTTTTGGGGAACATGGAAATGTTCATAAAAATCCTTTCTTTCTTTGAATAGAAGATGAATGGGTGTAAATTCCATAATGTGTTTTGTAAGACTAGTAATCTTATATATATATTGAGTTGGAGAAGTAGGCTTGAAATTTCATGCTGCAAAATATTGTTTGCTCTGTTTTACGTGCTTAACCCTCTGGTATTTCTGGAATTTATGTTTGATGCCTTACTGTATAAGTTATGTACACGTGTAGGGCATAACCTGAGAAGGACGAGCACTCCGTTATAGCACTGTGAGTAATAGTACTCTAATGCACATTATTTACCGTTAATAATGATTCTTATTAACATCTTGTTCCCCGTGGTCAATTAAGTTAACATGTATGTGGAACGAGAATTAGTGTGAACTTATGTAAACATTGAAGGATTTGGCACACACTAACATGATACAGATATCTACCTAGAGTGGATCATCAAAACGAATAATTGGATAAGACTACGGGTTGTTTTGTACGTTAATAACCATTATGAAATTATGTTAAATATCAGATGAACCTCTGAATGACTCAATCCGGAGAAAGAATTGAATGTCAATAACAGGATTATGTGACCCACGTTATGATGTGAATGGCTCCACTCTTATTAATGTAATGGAGCATTTACCTTCTGTTTATTGTTAATAGTGTTGTTCTATTATTGTGGGACAATTATGTCACCTTATGAGAAACCATGGAAAAATCTAAGAGCATTACTGGGTACTACGTTCTGTTTATTATTGATAATGGATACTAGCACACTGTTATCTGTAAGTCAGGTGTATGAATTTATAACAGACAAATGGGATGTGACTGCATTATGAAGTTCAATCTAGTAATAGTTGCTATTAGCACTCTGTTGAACGTAATGTAACTATGTTACCTCATGTGAATAATTAGAAGGAACTATGTGCTTCTGTATGATTTATAAGGCCGAGAGCCAGCTTGTGAAATTATGAATGTTTGTGAAATCTATGAACTTATAAGGCAAAGGGCCGACTTGTGAATCTATGAACTTATGAGGCCGAGGGCCAACTTGTGAATCTGGAAACTTATGAGGCCGAGGACCAACTTGTGAAAATATGAATCTATGAGGCCGAGGGCCAACGTGTGAAACTATGAATTCAAAGGGCCAAGGGCCAAGTTGTGAAGTTATGAATCTATTAAGCCAAAGGCTAATTGTGAATATGTGAACCCACTAGGCCAAGGGCCAGTCTGTGAATTTGTGAACCAACAAGACCGTTCTGACGTTAGTACGGAATCAGATTAACTACCTGTCTTTTATATTATATAAACTCTGATTTACATTATAATTCAAGTTGAACATTGAGTTATTCACGTACTATTATTCACTGAGGTTATCTCACTATGTATTTTGTCTGATTCTGTAGGTCCTGCGTTTGGAGGTCAGCCTCAACTTTTCATGCTCGTCTTCCTTGTTAGCCTCTGTCTGTCCAAGCATTTGGGTGAAGCCTACCCGTTTGGTGAAGTTTTGGCTTGGATTCTGATTGTCTATAATATGTTGTAACTTCTAATGTTTTTTTTTATTATGCGCCCAAACACGGGCGGGGTTGTATATGTGTATGTAACTATTATTATCTGTCTATTTGTGATCCTGGCATGATAGTGGTCGCTCAATGGATGTAGCTCTTTCCTTGCGTGTTATTATATAAAATTTATGCTTCCACTCAGGCCCCATATGTTATATATAACAGGTTAAGTGTCTGTTTTTGAAGCGGTCATGCCCAAACTTCTAGGGGCGGGTTTGGGGCGTGACATGCCAACTGTGACAGGTGGCACAAAATATCTGCATAAAGCAGATGAATAGGGCTCAGCCAGAAAAGAAGGTCGATGGACCAAACAAAGTGCTGATCGACCAAAAAGAGTGCCGATCGGCCAACACTTTTGGCCGATGGCTTCATGCCTTGGCCGATGGGTTGAGGGGATGGCCAACAAGCCACCCTCTTCCCTCAGAAACAAAACCACAAGTCCTTGGTCCACAACCATGCACAAAATAGACAAGTTGAGAGATCCTAAGGCAAGGCGCGCAGCCGAGAATTCCGGGAACTCAAAACGAACACGAGCATGGATGATCATCGAGTGTTGAAATGATAACGTCCAAATCTTGAGGACAGTCAAAAATGGGGTGTCTATAGTTGCCCCTCTTTGACAGAACTCGAAAGTCGTAAGATGACGAGAGTGAATGTCAAAGCCCAAGAGACGACCCATTTTTGACAAGGCCAAAGACTTAGACAAGCATACAAGGTAACAAAGATATGCGCCCGCAGGCAGGGGCAAAATGCAAAGGGTATGCACGACACCGAGCATAACTTATGATCATGCAAAGAGAGCTGTAATGAAGCATTTATGCAAAACAAATACAACATTTTAAGCAAGCGAATAAGAAAGAGTAGTCCTACACATTCCAACAGAAAGGATGTAAGAAAAATTATGCAATTGTCACTGCGTCTCACGCGGAGAAGATTAAAAGCGACTACCAAGGACGCCCGGAGTCTTAAACACAACATCTCTCAGCGTAGTACACACATGAGAGGAAAGAGAGCATCCCTCAGCGTGGCACACGCATGAGAGGAAAGAGAGCATCCCTCAGCATGGCACGCACATGAGAGGAAAGAGAGCATCTCTCAACGTGGCACACGCACGAGAGGAAAGGGAGCATCTCTCAGCGTGGCACACGCATGAGAGGAAAGAGAGCATCTCTCAGCGTGGCACATGCACGAGAGGAAAAAGAGCATCCCTCAGCGTGGCACACGCATAAGAGGAAAGAGAGCACAAACATTGGAGTAAGTCACAATGCTTCTAACAAGGGTATAGCGTAAACACCGAGCGCACCCGGATACTTCTAACAAAGTAAATTCAAAGGACAGGAAAGGTGTTACCTGAAATTCCTCCGATTGACCGATACACACAGTAATGGCGGGTTTCACCAACTTCAAATGAACCGTACATGCAATATCGTGCCTGCAAAAGAAAGAAACTCACCAGGTACAGTATAGTAGAAATACATGTTCAATGTTAGATCAAGATATCATTTCAATATGAGATAAACACATGCATATACAATGCGAGTGAGAAGAAGCATAACAATGCAAGTGAAAAGATGCAAGACAATGCAACTACAACTAGCGTAACAATGCAAGCAAAACATGCGCAACAACGCAAGCAAGAGGTGCATAACAATGAAACCTAAGTGTACGCATAACAATGTGAGGGGGGCATGCGCAACAACGCAAGCCATGGGTGCACGACAATGCAACCTAAGTGTACGCATAACAATGCGATAGGGGCATGCGCGACAACGCAAGCCAAGGGGTGCACGACAACGCAACCTAAGTGTACGCATAACAATGCGAAAAGGGGTGCATAACAATGCAACCTAAGTCTGACGCATAACAATACGAGAAGGGGTGCATAACAATGCAACCTAAGTGTGACGCATAACAATGCAGAAAGGGGTGCATAACAATGCAACCTAAGTGTGACGCATAACAATGCGGAAAGGGGTGCATGACAATGCAACCTAAGTATGATGCATAACAATACGGGAAGGGATGCATGACAATGCAACCTAAGTGTGACGCATAATAATGAGGGAAGGAGTGCATGACAATGCAACCTAAATGTGACGCATAACAATGCGGAAAGGGGTGCATCACAATGCAACCTAAGTGTGACGCATAACAATGCGAGAAGGGATGCATAACAATGCAACCTAATGTGATGCATAACAATGCGGAAAGGGATGCATGATAATGCAACCTAAGTGTGACGCATAATAATGTGGAAAGGTGTGCATGACAATGCAACCTAAGTGTGACGCATAACAATGCGGAAAGGGGTGCATGACAATGCAACCTAAGTGCGACTCATAACAATGCGGGAAGGGGTGCATGACAATGCAACCTAAGTGTGACGTATAACAATGCGGAAAGGGGTGCATGACAATGTAACCTCAGTGTGACACATAACAATGCGGAAAGGGTTGCATGACAATGCAACCTAAGTGTGATGCATAACAATGCGGAAAGGGGTGCATAACAATGCAACCTAAGTGTGACGTATAACAATGCGAGCATAACAAGTGTGATGCATAACAATGCGGATAGGGGGCATGCGCGACAACGCAAGCCATGGGGTGCACAACAATGCAACTTAAGTGTACGCATAACAATGCGATAGGGGCATGTGCGACAACGTAAGCCAAGGGGTGCACGACAATGCAACCTAAGTGTACGCATAACAATGCAATGCACTAACAAGTGCAGGTAAAGTGCGCAAAATAGTGCGATGCGCAAAATAGCGCGAATGAAATGCAATACACAAAACAGCGCAATGCGCAAAATAGCATGAATAAAATGCAATGCACTGACAAGTGTAGGAAATGTGGTATAGTAGATACAAAAGGGCGACAAACTCCAACCATGCTGGAATCATGAGAGGAGGAAAAACAAACAATCAGGCACGTATATAACGCAGCTTGAGTCAAATTCCAAAAACGCTGAAATCGTGTGAGGAAAGGGACACTCAAACTACGCTAAAATCGTGAGAGGAGGTCCAAAACAACCCGCCCAGGTGTGTTCAAAACACAACCTGAGATAAATTCCAAACACGCTGTAATCGTGTGAGGAATAGGGACACTCAAACCACGCTGAAATCGTGAGAGGAGGTCCAAAACAACCCGCCCAGGTGTGTTCAAAACACAACCTGAGATAAACTCCAAACACGCTGAAATCGTGTGAGGAATGGGGACACTTAAGCCACGCTGAAATCATGAGAGGAGGTCCAAAACAACCCGCTCAGGTGTGTTCAAAACACAACCTGAGATAAATTCCAAACACGCTGGAATCGTGTAAGGAAAGGGACATGGAGAAACATAGGGACATATCCCTACTGTTTAAGAAAAAAAAGGAAACATAGGGACACATCCCCATGTTTCAGAATGGTATGGGCATTGGAACGTATTCCAAATGCTCTAAACCAGAAAATGAGAAACATAGGGAGACATCCCCATGTTTCGGAACGAATGAGAAACATAGGGACATATCCTCGTGTTTCGGAAAGAAGGAAAACCTCTCAACGTATCATACGCAAGAGAGGGAAGAGAAAACCTCTCAGCGTGTCACATGCAAGAGAGGAAATGACTATGCAAGAAAGCACAGTCATCCAAACGCGTGTCAAATGCGAGAGGAGAAAGATATGTCCAAACGCATGCCAAATGCGAGAGGAGAAAGGTATCAGTTAAACTGAACCGAAACGTCCCTGAATGAACAATACATACAATACTGTGCAAGAACGAGAAAGAAACTAGATAGGTAAAAATGCAACACAATGCATGATGTTTAAGGAATGCAATAAACAAACAAAGCGGTGCTTCATCAAGCACCTCACGGGGTGAGTGGCGATAAACCGCTCTACTCTGACGGGGATCCCCCCCTCGTGTTCCTCGAACACTTATCTTCAACTCACAGTAAAAAGGTGCTGAAATGCTGACAATGAGCAACATCTGCTGGGGAAACCATGGATGCCGCTTTTCTTCCTGATCATACTCACAACTTTCCCTATTTTTCAACGGGGTGACGAACTAGCTTGGATCAGTATCCAGAATCGAGATGCATACCGGCTACCTCGACCTATGGGGCTTCCATACAGATTTCAAGCCGGGGATATACCCCTGGGTATTCAAACCAGACTTTAGTTTTGGAAATTCCAAACCTTTGTGTTTTAGGCAATAACCATTCGAACTCTAGTTTCCACCATCGCAATTGATCTCCTAGGAACTCATTGCAAGCACAACCAAGATGCCTCTGGTAGGGATTGGTATTCTGGGAGAGCACTTCTAATTGCCATTCTGGCATGAGAATAGTCGACACAGTATTCTATTCATTTAGAACACACAGCTCGTAACACAGTACTCAGTTTGTTCTGCACACGGCTCATTCTGAACACACTGCTCACTCTGAACACACTGCTCATAACACAGTACTCGATTTGTTCTACACACAGGGAATTCTGAACAAACTGCTCATTCTGAACTGACAGGATGCGAAAATGGAACATGTGAAAGTTGAAACAAACTCGAATGCTCCAAATTTTCCACTTTTCTTTTGCTTTGCAGTCCGGAACCTATATAGCTTCAGATAGGTCCTTGTTCGACTGTTCTCATATGACCTAGGTTGAACCCTGCAGTTTTATGAAAGAACAAATTTTGTTTTGCACAAATGTGGAGAATGACACAGCACTCCGAGCACAAAACAATTTTTTTGAGATTGAAATTGAGAAACGAGTTCCCAACTGGGTATTGAGCCTATAACTGACCACAGTCAAAATGACTCAACAAAGGAAAGCAAAGGTAAACAACCTAAACACATCTAGTGACACTCAAAACGACTCAAAACACGAATCGAGAGAAACAAAAACACACACACAACACTCGGATCTGTACCACCAGTGGGAGACCTCTCAGTTCACGAGGCGCC